CCCGGACGCTGAAAACCTAGTAGAATGGGCAGAAGCCGCTAGCCTTGTCCTAATGTCACCTATAGGTGAACCCACGCACAAAGGCGGCAACACCCTAGATTTATGCTGGGCGTCCAGCAACCTCCATGGGGCTTCCACCAGCATAGAAACGTCACTACACACGACATCAGACCACGAATCTCTGCTTACCCGGGTCCCCTTGGCCCTGATCGATTCACCCAGCCAGACGCCGGGAAGGTTTCGGCTCGACACGATGGACGAGGAGCTTTTCCTCGGCATCATTAAACGCAACTTACAACCCATGCGCCGCACTGCAAGCAACATCCAAGACCCACAGTCTTTAGATCTCCTAGCACAACAGCTTACGGACTGTCTTATTAAAGCACTTACGGCTTCCACAAAGCGCACGCTCGGGAAAGGTACAGGGAGACCATACTGGAGCGAGAGCTGCATATATAAATACCGAGCCTATGCGAGTAAGCGAGCGATGTTAGCAAGACTCCGCGCAGCCGGAGTGAACTGCCAATGGGAAGAAGAGGAGGTCGAAGCTCTAAAACAGGACTTCCTCTACGAGTTTAAACGCTCCAAGGATGCCTTTTGGAAAGATAAGATCTCCTCAGCCTCCTCAAGCAAAGACATATTTGAAATGGTCGGTTGGCACAAAGCCACAGGATCCTTTCAGACCCCGCCACTCCGAGATGTAGACAACCAAGACACGCTTGTCTCACAACCAAAAGAGAAGCGCGACTTATTTACCCGCGTCCTCCTTAGAAACGCTGCAATCTCCGAGGACATACCAACAGAAAGCCCAGTCCTACAAAGGCAAGCTACGCTTCCTTTCCCGCAGGTTACGAAGGACGAGGTACGGTCTTCGGTTCTCACCGCGGGAAATACGACTCCTGGGACCGACGGAATCACTACGACTACTTTGAAAATAGCATAGCCAGTTATTGAGGATATTGTCCTCTCACTTTATAGCGGGTGTATACGCGAGGGTTGGCATCCTACTTATTTTAAAGAAGCAACTCTCGTGATCCTAGCAAAACCGGGAAAAAGAGACAAGACACTCCCGCGCTCCTATAGGCCAATTACGCTCTTGGCCGTCCTCGGAAAAGGCTTGGAGAGACTCATCGCCAGACGACTTGCCTAGATCGTAGTTAAATATCGTGTTCTGTATGATTAATAGTTTGGAGCACTCCCTCTTCGCTCTTGTAGCGACCTCATCGCAGCGGCCATCTACGATATCGAGTACGCCTAGTAAAGAGGCCTGGTTACCTCTATGCTTACGCTCGATATAAAAGGGGCTTTCGACGCCGTGCTCCCAGGACGACTGGTCCGACGCCTCTGCGAACAAGGATGGCCGGAGAACCTCGTACGCTGGGTCTCAAGTTTTGTTACCGGAAGGAGAGCAAGAATAAGGCTTGATGGGGAGGTAGGAGACGTCTTCGGTCTCGAATGCGGACTACCATAAGGCTTACCCGTGTCTCCCATTCTATTCATGCTCTATATTGAACCTCTTTTTAAGCTAGGTATAGCTCGCCTAGGAAGGAAGCGATCTCGTTTTGGCTACGCCGATGACGTTGCTATCTTGGTAAGCTTAACATTACTAGAGAATAACTATGATATCCTAACTAAGGAATGGAAAGAAACCTTAGGATGGGGCGCGATGGAAGGAATTATTTTTGACCTTGATAAGTCCGAACTAATCTACTTTACTAAGAGACGAAAAGACGGAAACCTATCAATTATAGTAGGTTTGCCGGATGGGAGGTATTATATAGTTTAGGCTATTAAAGAAGGCTCTTCTCTACGCTGGCTCGGCGTTTACTTCGACCGTAAACTCATATTTAAGAGTTACGTAAGAAACCTCTTTGTAAAAGTATGCTAAGTAGTTAATGGACTACGGGGACTAGGGAATACTGTCTGGGGCGCGCCTGCGTACTTACTTCGTCGAGCGATCACCTCTTGTGTATTACCTATTTAGTATTATGTATTTGAAGTATGGTGGCCCGGCAAGAGCCGGATAAAGAATGGACGTACTATTTTAAACGGGGTTAGTAGTTTGCTATACTAACTGGACGCGATGTAAACTAAAGCTATTAGAGCGATGGTCCCCGTATATAGAACTACGCCTATACCGATCCTATAGCGCGAGGCGGCTCTACCCCTAGCAGAGGTGATACTGGATGCGAAGCTCTACATAGCGTCTACCAGAATCCATCGTCTGGACGAGCGACACCCTCTCCGAACGAGACTCAGGGACAAATCAGGACCAGACTCACGGCTACGACGAATGGTAAGCCTCGTAAGCAAAAATACCGAATACATCGATCCGTTAGAACTCCCCCCTTGGGAGCAACTAGCGGACTGGCAGACAGCCCTCGCCAGGGTCGGCTACGAACCTAATAAAACCAAAGAAGAACAGGCCCTCTCCTTTGCAGGCAGGATGGCAACTTTCTCTAAGCGGGACATTGTTGTCTATACTGACGGGTCCCAGATGTCGGACGGCAGCAGCACCTCCGCCGGAGCAGGCTGGGTAGGGTACCAAGCTATACGGCAGATCTTCCGCGGATCCGAACCACTCGGCTCCCAAACTGAGGTGTATGACGCGGAGGTATATGCTGCGTATCACGGCCTGATGGAAGCCACCCGGGCTCCTACGGCTCGTATGGCAGATAACGTCCACATCTGCCTCGATAACCTCGCAGTCGCGGCTAGACTATACTCCCAGAGCACAGGAAGTAGCCAGGCTAGGTTTAGGGCCTTCAATAGGCTCTCTTCCTCCTGGACTCGGAGACAAAGAGAGAGCTGGACAACCCCCGGCAGGGTTTATGTTTGGTGGTGCCCTGGGCACACGGGAGTACCAGGAAATGAAGAAGCGGATGCTCTAGCCAAGGAAGCCTGCAAACTAATCCCAAAATCACAACCACAGCCCTCATTAGCGCACCTAGAAAGGCAAGCTAAAGCAGCTGCCTTCTAAGCCTTTGCCAGAAAATGGCTGTCCCAATGCCCTCGGCAATATGCCGACCTCGAGATAATTCTTCACCCCAAGCCGCCCGAACTCCGCCTCCCTCGGCACTTACTAGGAAGGCTATACGTAGCAAGATCCCATCATGGAGACTTTGCAGCATACCACGAGAGATTCGCTTATCAAGATGCGTTGCTCAACTGCAGCTGTGGGAAACCCAAGACACCAGTCCATTTCTACTTCTGCAAGCGTGGACGCAAGGCTACACCGCGCTACCTCCGCCAACGTATGGCTAAAGCAAGCATTGATTTCTTGTTAGGTTCTGCTAAGGGAGCCTCTCTTCTATGCGAATAGATAGAGGAGACTAATTTCTTTTCCGAAATTTGCCCGAGTCATTGAACAGGAACGTTAGGTGAAGACGGTAGCCTGTAATATAGTTTAGATTAGTATAGACCATGTCGGCATTGCGCCCGGCACGTCCTTTTGTTACCAGACGTTAAATACATCATCATCATCATCATCATTGTCCTCTGCATAACATAGTTTAGATTAGCATAGACCATGTCGGCATAGCGCCCGGCACGTCCTTTTGTTACCAGACGTTAAATACATCATCATCATCATCAACTTGTCCTCTGCATACATGGTGCGCTGTAGCCGCCGCGAGCCTGCGGGGCAGGCCTTGTTCTTGGTCATGCATGTTGGGTCGTAACACTTATGTAGAATCAATCAATATAGAGATATTGATACTTCGTCACCCCCAGGACCCTACGGTTCGAACCAACTTACCTGTGAAAGGAATACCAGCACCCACATTACGACGGTTTCTATGTTGAGGTGCCTGCTAAGGTAGTGAGAGAGATGGTGAAACGTTTGGCTTCAATATTGTAAGAATCCGTTAATTCTTTCTGAGAAATATGGCATGAATCATATGTGGTGAATATGGCCCGATGAACTCAACTCACATAGGTACTTACTTGGCTTGTAAACGTTACTTGTATGCGATAAATCATTGTTGGGGTTTGTGAACTCATACTCTTCATTTCTGACTGATTCAAAGATGGAATCTCTGTGATGTATATAGATCATTGAGGGCATAGACAAGGTCATACATAGCAAACAAAGATGGTGAATTTGTAATCTACTACTTATTCCCGCACTCGAGGCTAATCTAGGTAGGTGCTGGATAATATTTTGCAAAGTCTGAGCACTGCCATTTCTTCCTTCACTCGGTTGCCGACGATATAGAGGCGGTGGCTGTGGGCATCGCCGAGGAGATTTCGGCTGATGTGTGCGTCACCTGAACTTTTGATCGCCGACGGGGGATTACTAGCAGCGAGCATGATGCTTCTGAGCCCTATCAGCTTGCATGCAGCAACATTTGGATCTGTATCTTGCCAAACAAGGTTTTTATCCTGTCTGTTATGTCTTCATAGCTTCCACACAGCTCAGGGTTACCACTGCCTTCAAGCCGCTTGGTCGAGATTCACTACAACTTTCTGACGCCTCTTCTCCGCCGAGCTTCACATCTCCCATAACCAAGCACCTCAGTCAGAGGCAGACAATTGAACAAAAAAAGTGAAGACTTAGCTCATTGCGTTCAGTTTTGAGTACGCGCCGCCTCCCAGTCGTAGAACTCGCGTTCCGCGAGTTGAGACCGGGAAGAGTGTCCGGTAGACCCCGACAAAGACAACGTCAATGCTCATACGACGGCCAATCGGTCATGATAGTAACTTCACATCTAACGGCATTCTAATATTGCGCCGTTGGTAAGTGATGGGCTGCAAGAGAGTAGTTCGGACGACGTACGCTGTGACTTGAGGCAAAACCTCGTTATACGTACTCGCTCGAGGCTTGAGCGTGTGGCTATAACTTCAGCTCCCGTTAGGTCGCAGTGCTCTGACAGAGCTCACTGTAACTCTGAACAACCAACTGCACTGAATTGCTCTGGATATTATTCACTCTCGGAGCAACGACTTGACTTCTTTCAGGCTTCAGCCATCGGCTTATCACAAAATTCCCGCCTAGAGAAATGAAGGCCTTCTCAACTCTAATTTTCTTTGTGGTCGCAATCACCCAGATCTTTGCCGCACCAACAGCCGATGCCAAAAACCTCTTGTCAGAATCAAGTCTCAGAGCAGAATACCACACGTCGTGGTTAGAAGACCCGACCGTAAGGAACCCTCGCTTTAACGCTCAGTTCCACAAACTTCGAACTCGCAGTTCGCTAATGTATCATAGCAACCATGGCTTCGAAAGAGAGCGAGAGGACAAGGAGACCCTTGCGATCCTGGCAGAGTCGAACGTTTGACAGGCCTTGGATGTTACGGGTGTAGTGGACACTCGCCAGTGTGTCAGCGTGGGCCTGGGTCAAATTTATGTTTTCATCGAGATAACCAAGCTTCGGTGGCCATATGCGACAGAACACAAGGATAAGAGCGCGGCCAGTGTTCAAATGGAAGCAACGTTTGGTTGCGATATGTTCACGTTCATAATTCTTGCACATCCTGATGGAAATAGTCCACGATTGTAGAAAAGTAGCACAATTATGTAACCACAGATTTTCTGCTTCATGAAACATCCCGGGCATGGAATCACGTTCTGCTAGTCACTAGAAGGGGAAATTTCAGTGTGGGATGTTATATCATACCGTATTAGTAAAGTAGGTACCTGTAGGAGTGAGCATCTTTATCAATACAACAATGGTGAGTTACTCTCTTCAATTTCTTGTTGTATATGTACACAGAATCCACCTTGCCTACTCCACCTTATCCTTTCGCGATTCCAATCAAATGATAGCGGCATATTTGTCAAGACCATTGACTAGCAACGTTCATGGAGACCAGCCCTAATCGTAGTGCGTTCGCGCCGAGCGCGGTCTAGTCAGGGCCATGATCCATGTATGTCCCCATTTTCTTTATTTTGTGGGACGTCTGGGTCTTCCGTTGGGTCTTCCATTTGGCCTACGGTTATTGTTGTTGTTATTGGGGCGGCGAGGTGGCTTGCCACCACCTCCACGGGCCTCGATGATCTCGCCGAGTCCCTGTAATGCTGAAATTAGTCGGTGTTTTAACATTGCATGTGACTTGATTCATAGCTTACAGCGACAGCATCAAAGTCGGGCTGTTCCTATGGGAAAACTAGTCAGCTGATGGCACCAATAGAGGACTTGAGCGGGGCAGAGTCGCAGGAAACTCACAAGAGCCTCGTTCCTCTAATTACGCATATTCATCAGCATCCGTATTATTCACCTCGTCGGACAACTCAACGACTCACCTCGGATAAGTCTTGAACATCAGCCCCCATCTGGACGTTGGGAACCGCAAGTGCGGCGGTGGCATAGAATGCAACACCAAGAGTGACAATGGTCTTGACGGAAGGAACAAACATGTTGAAAGATAGCTAGCCGAATCTTGATTGATTTCCTAGTGTTCGTAGTAATGTAGATTGCGGATGTCTGCACATGTTGCGAGATTGGAGCGGCTCTCAGTCCGATATTTATAGCCAGCACTTACTCTGATCTCTGCAGAAGACGGGGCTTAGAGTATGTTACTTTCAACGCCGTCCCATTCATGTGAACGTCCAACACACATGGTCCATCATCAACGAGGCCAGATGCTCCAGCCAGAACGACATAGACTTTCACCCCCAAGTTTCAACAGGAAGTCTCGAAGGCCAAGACTGCACGACGATGGGGACATTGGAGAGGGATTCGGTGAGGGACCAATATGCGACCCCCCGAAAACGACATGGAGTCACGGCATCCATCAACTGAACCAACAGCACTGTTTATGCATGTGCGTGAACAATCCACGAACATGGAGGTCCTGAAGTCAAGATTTCATATGCGACGAAGTCTGTTCTGGTGGTGTTGCTGGCGGCACACCTAAGAACAGTCCCGCGGATCTCCCACCCATCCCATCTTTGACGAAACATCTGCCTTGATCGAGACTGAAGGGCAGGGATTCTTTGTTTGAGTCTCGGCAAAAGTCGACCCGTTTTAGTGATTCGGGATCTTCGAGCCCCATGTTCCGTCTCGTTCGGAACGATGGTACGGTTAATGATCGCCGCTGTCAGGAACTGCTCTTATGTGGATCAGTATGATTTTCACCACCGGCGATTCGGTTACACCAGAGGTAACATTTAACATGCTTATATTTCTCAGCTTCTCATTGAAATGTCATTGAGGAACTTGTAATAAGAATCCTACGTGGTAGCTCACGCTTTAACCCCCTCATCTGCCCTAACTTCCCGCTTCCTGCGCGGAACCAAAACTTGTTTGGACTCTATCCCGCCTCTCCCGCAAAGAGGCTCTTTTGACCCAAACTCAACTGTCTGCCCGCCCTTTACCACCTCATGCTCACGGATGGAAAGTTTGTAATATTTGACAAGAAGTGTTTTGTTCGTCAGGTTTTATTCAGATGAGCCTCGGCTGGAGAATCTCTCATCTTCGCCGATCCCAAAATCTCAAAAGTCTTGGCCTTCAGATCGACACGAGTAAATCGACACGGCAGCACGGTGGAACAATCCATGAAACGAATCACTGGGAGGGGAAAACATAGAATCCAGTCCTGCCAAGAACGCCTGGACTGATGTAGAAGGATAATGAGGCTGACATTAGACCCTGATTAAAGTTGACGAGATCGATCACGTTGAGAGGGGCATTGAGAGGCTATAAACATCGCATCAATGCATTCGTTGTAAAGGTGGGTACCGCGCGCGCGGGGAGCTGAGGTCAAATCCGGTGCCGAGCTTTGATCTCCCGGCCCGCCAGACCGCCTAAAACTGCTTCCGACGGCTAGAGTTTCTGGTCTGGATTAGGAAGTTGGACGAGCCCCCGAGGCGATCCGTCCAAGGGTTGGACGACCAGCTAAAGCCTCAGTGAGGACATGGACGTTACGTGACGGTACATGTCAGTAAAGTAAGCTGCCTGCTGATGGCCAACACTCTTTCACTAGCAGCCGATGAACACGTGCAATTTGAGTAAGACTTTGCACGACTGATTTTGAGGCTCCAGTCCGATCTGAAGGAAACTTACCAAGGAGACATTCGGAATGAGGTCCAATAAGATCGGCAGAATCGTCTAGCACCGGAAAGTTATGCATAGTTGCCCCGCAATCCATCGACTTGACACGCTTTCAATTTCTGAGTAATAAGCAAGTGGTGTGAGTAGAGCGCCATGATCATAGTACGATCAGTGACGACCCCAAGGGGCCAAGTGAGTTGGGTCGTGGACCACCATCGCTAATAGCTCTGTGTATGCTGCCGTAATCTTGAGATCTTGGCTATGGCGTCTACAATCGAGATGTCAATGTGGCATATCGGTGCGTCCTTCTTTCCCACAGAACCTCCTACTTTCATTAACAGTTGCAGGTGTACGATGTTGTAAGTATCTCGGCCCCACTTCGTGCGACACCGAGAGCTCCGAGCTTTGCAGAAGGCCGAGCCGAAGGTGTGGTGATCCAAGGAGTACGGCGGCGACCATCGAAGAACTCTTGTAGGGCCATCAGACGATTCTCGATCATCCGTTGGTGACAGATGTCTGAGCTGGATATCTGGTTATTTGTTCGTAGCGGAGCTCCACCTGTAAGCATCTCCGTCGTTATCACATGCAGGTACTAGGTAACAGGTATCGGATAAAGATGGAGTTGAGTAGGGTATCGTATTTTGTTATGGAGCAATCGAACGAGGTATCTAACATCTGGGCTCCCGATAATATGGCCAACCACAAGCTCAGTTTGAGCACCGAAAACGAAGCAGACCCGTCGGTGTCTAGCTCTTGAGATAATCTCTAGAGCCGCAATGAAGAGTTCCGGTATGAGGAATCCGCCGGTACTGAAGTGACTGTGTATCGAATCCTTTACTTGTGGTTTTTCTGTCAGGCCCAAACGAGGTGCGAACATCGGAGGTCTTCTTTCTTCCGCTTCTCTCTTTTCCGCATCACCCGGTACCGCTGACACAGTGTGATTTACACTGAAAAATCGAGGTGGTGCAGGTACTTCGAACTGTATGGCTTTCCGAAGCAACGCTACCAACGTAACGGAAATTTCTAGCAAGTCTATGAACTTCTCCTTCCATAGGGTTCAAAGGGAAACAGAGCGGACACGCCGGCCATAACTCCAAACAGCGCCGCGCAGACATACAACGGAACTGATGTTGCCGTATTACCACTGCTCGCAACAAAAGCAGACACGATACCCATGAGGCGATTGAAGGCGACGGCGATACCGTTGCCCGTGGCGCGATGGGCTGAGGGGAAAACCTCGACGGTATATGCGTACAGTGTACCGTAGTAAATATTGATTGCGCAAGCTAAATCCGCAAGTCAACTGGATATGCTCTCAAGTCCGGGGGGGGGCTGGGAACAAAGTCACTTACCAATCGCGCAACTGAGGCCGATATTCTGGTCAGCGGCCGACACCGCTGTGTAACCGAAGAAGAACGCCATTGAGAGTAAAGCGCCGATGGCCATCGTGTACTTGCGGCCGATGCGAGGGATATTGGCCAGGTAACCAGCAATAATTGGGCCGGGAATGCCAGAAATATTCGTTAACGTGTAGTTTCGCCACGTCTCGAATGGCGTCTCGGTGTTATCCGGCACTCTCGATGCAAGGTACGATCTAGTGCTATCAGTCAATTTCCATCATATTCCTCAAAGTCTCTTGGAAACTTACGGCAGGAAAACATAAAACAGGGGATAAGCCAGACCGATTAGCGTCCACGAAAACCAAACCAAGACAGTGCTAAGCGTCATTCTCTTGGTGTAAAATAGGCCCTTGACGTGAGCGCCCAGCTCGCGAATCACAAACCTGAAGTTGTTTCTGCTCTGACCGGCGTTCTTGATCTGCCCGCACGCCGTCAACTTCTCCAGCGTGAGCGAACAGGGCCGGTTGTACTTTTGCGCCATCTTTTGGTAGTTGCGCACCAGATCGGCATCACGGCCGACGCTGAGGAGGTACTTTGGCGTCTCCTGGAGGCGCATGACGGTCACTCGCGCAACGGACGCGACGAAGACGAATGCTCCCGAGGTGAAGGATACGTAGCGCCAGCCGGGGTTGTTGGACCAGTTACAGTCCATACCCTCGGTACAGTTCCATCGCTCCTGGGCTGGAAAACAGTCAGCATCTAGCCAGCAGCAAGCCGGGAAAGCCATCACGTCTTACTCAAGAAGCCCCACGCAATGAAGCCCACCAACGCCTGCCCGAACCCCCACCACAATGCGAGCGCCGTAACCGTCCACTGCTTATTACTCGGGAGGAATTCGAGAAAGACTGTCGGATCGAGCACCAGGTTACCGCCAGCTCCAAACGCCGATAGCGCGGTGAAGAAGCCCCACGATTCAATGTTGGGACTCGCACCCGAGACGATTGTCGCGAGAGACGTGATGAGTAGCGTGACGTTAAACGCGATCCTCCGTCCAATGATATCCGCACCGAAGCCCCAGAAAAGCGCCCCGATGAGCAAACCGACGTAGAGCGAAACAGTGCCCGCATTTGAATAGGTTGACGGCTTCCCAAGTTCGAGCATCGCGCCCGCGTTGGTGACAGACTGGACCAAGGCGATGAGCGAGTCGACGGCGTAGCCGAAACCGTTGAGGACGAAGAGCTTCCAGTGGAAGTTTGTCCAGCCAATTTCATCGTTTGCCTGGGTTGGTTAGTTCTGTAGTTAAGCGTTAAGCGTTACATGAGAGCTGTGTTGGCGGCGAACGTGTCTGGGTGAGAGACCGTGAGCCCAGACTCTGGAAGCTTTTTTTTGGTTGGTTTGTGAAGGTTCATACGTCATTGACGAGATGCATTTTCATTGCGAGCACGGGGTCCTCGCCCTCATTTTCCAGAATGTCTTTAGCCGAGCTGACGGAGGTGTCTTCAATGTCGGAGGCCGGGGCCCCGGAGTCGACCGTCTTCTTCTGCGTCGCCGGGTCGAACATCTTTGCGTCCGGTTCGTGATGCATCATGCAGTTTGATGCTTGGTGGTTAAGAGGGAGAGGGAAGAGACGCGGACGGGGAGAAGCGGAGCGACAAAGCTGAGAGAGAGGGATGGGCGTAACGAAAGCAGAAAAGTAAGAAGTAAAATTCAGACGACTTAAAAAGGTCCAAGTTGCCTTCTCTGCGGGGTGGTTCTGTGAGAGAGGAACGAGCCTCAACCAATGTTACACGGCCAAGTGAACTTGGCGCAGGGCGAAGGATTCCACTATTGTACTTTTGGGATCATGTCGTTGAAGCTATCCTGTTCGTCGTCTGCCGGTCCGCTTCCTATCTCATTCGCTTGGCCCATTTCATAGCGCGATTAAGCTGCATGCCGTAATGGCATGGTTCTCTTGCGGCTACCATGTTCAAATGCGGCGTGTATTTCCCCGAGTACAGTAGAAAGCAAGGCACCAACCACACCGAGAGGACAGTGGAGACCTGAGCGAGCTATCTGATCCATCATAGGATAGAACCGCGTAAAGCTGTGGTCTTCTCCGCCTCCAAAGGTTCAAAGACGAACTTAACGAGGTTACGAGAGCGTAGACCAACGATATGGACGAGATCTCATTGGATACGGGACCGGTCGAAGCATCGCTTAACACCACTCTTGATGAAACGTTTCCGTTAGTGGTGCTTTGGCGGGCGAGCCATTCGCCAATGACGTGCACGAACATCACCCCACGTGCGAGGCGAGATTGGAGCTCCCGTCGAGGTTGGGAGCGGATCAGCGGGGAGGACACTTTGGAGAAGACACAAGCACGCAGGAGAGCACCGCGTTGGCCGCCACACGCCGCGGCATCCTTGCGGGTCGGGATGAGCCTGTCTTAGATAAGAAAGGAGGCTTCGCGGGCCGTCCAGGTCCCAAGAGTAAGCTGTCAACAGTCAAGTTCTAGGTGAAATCATGTGACTTGCCATCTCATTCCCGCACTTGAGTACGGAGTAGAGCCAACAATTACGAGCGGAGAGAGGAGGAAAGTGTTTTCCACAGTCGGGGAGATTAGTGAGCTCAAGGGACGGATAAGATTGATGGATAGGCCGTATCTTGCCCCCTCCCCGTTCCGTCTCCACAACTCTCTTGCTCCATCCTCGGCCGTTCCCCACCCGGTCCGTTCCGGATCACTCCGGTTTATTCCGGGGCTTATCACCCGGAGGGGCGGTCCGCTTCCGTCATTCCAGCATGAAAGTCGCTGGTGTAAGACGAATCATTCCGGCATACGCTTTTGTAAGTGATGCCCCTTGCTACTGATTTGCGTCTCATCGCTGCTCGGCAGTTGTCAACCTTTGTTGAGATAAAGAGACTGACGCAAGCTTGAGATAACAACCCCCGTTTGAGATATCTGTCAATCTGAAGATATGCGTAATGGGATCGTGGTGTAGGATGATATCTTTACCTGGGAGGATATGGCGAATGCCAGGCTGAGATATCCCTCTCAACGCCGTCAGCCTCGCCTACAGGCTATCTGAGTAGCTTGCCATATGTATCCCATCAACTGTTAGATGGCGCCAGTACATTGCCTTACGGGGTAATCGCAAACAATGCGTTGATCCGCCCCTATTTCTCTTATGCCCGGATGTCAAAATTTTTGGAAAGGACTTCACTATCTCTATGATACGATTTCCAACGGGAACTCCAAATATAGCTCCTCCCGTCATTTTCATACGTGAGATGCTCGAGGCAAGATATCTACTCCGGAGCCCACAATGAACCAGTGCAATCTTGAGTTTCCTCTTCAGCCGGCTCAAAGGGTCATCAGTATGTGATTAACTTCGGTTCAATATTCGTTAGAACACCAGGCTCAAATGGCGATCCACCCATAATACCTATCATCAAGCCTCACTATCCCATCGAGTGCCACTTGACGCCATTTTTACCAAGACCCAAAATACCCACTATTTACATTTTATTACCCCGCATTCAAAGGGGTACTTAACAATACGTCACTTATCCCTATGCTCTTTTGCCTATTATCACCACTATTACTACCATTTCGATTAATGCTGCGATGTCTTCTAGTGATTCCGATGCTTCTATTACTTCCGTACGTAGTTATATAGTAGTTAAGATCCTTCTAAAAGACCTTACTGCTACCTAAAATATAGACTATATGCTAGAACGTTATAATGTAGTAACAGTCCGGCCCTACGAACCTCCAGCTACCGAGTATAGACCTCTGGGCTCTTTCCGGCCCTTTAACATACTAGCCCGGGCCTAAGAAGTAAGTCAAACCCCCCACTTCCTGGCTCCCCCCTGTTTCTGGCACCACAAAAACGATGGGATCACAACCCGACCTCCTCATTACTATTAACTATTGATCCTCAACCACACCCACTACAATACAGCTGCCAGCCTCACTAGGGCATTCAGAGTCGCTGGATTCAGCCGTGATAACCTCCTTTTCACCCGCTTCGATTTGAGCCCGATGGATATCCCTGATGTTCGCGAACTTCGTGTTGGGATCGATTTGAACAGTCTTCCTCTTCCTCACTGCAGCGTTGGTAACTTGAGCCCTCAGGTGAGCTAGTTGCTGCTGGGCAGCTGCCAGTTGCCAGGCCTGCTCTGTGAAGCCTTTTTTCACCTTCCTGAATAGCAGCCGTTGAGTGCTGGTATCATTGTCGAGTTGGGTGTATAAGTGCAGTTGACCGCTGAGCTCTGCCAGCTTCCTGGGTGTCGACCAGACCACTGCAGAGGAGGCAGAATCCCATGGCTCAACAGGGGTAGTTTGTTGACCATTATGGCATCGCTTTCTGCCCTGACTAGTTGGTTTGGGTGTGGTGGGCTTAGCAGGAGGCTCAGGTAGTACCATAGGGTTCATCAGGGGCTTAACCATCGCCACAGGGTGTAGACCAGTCCACTTCCAACCACTTCTGATGTTCGAGACTGATAGACCAGCAAGTCGAGCCTTCTGGTAACAGTCCAGGAAGTTCCTTTTACCTATAATGGTAGAGTCGTTCCATTGAGACAAGTAACCGAGCTCCTTCCGATAGGCTGACTTAACAGGGCTGAAGACAGACTGGTCAAGAGGCTGGAGGACATGAGAGGAGTGTGGTGGTAAGAACAGTAAATGGATATTGTTAATATAGCAATTCCACATGAAGTCTGTCGTCGTATGCCTCCCATGCCCATCCACAATCAGCAGTCGAGCCTCCCCCTCAGCCTCAGGCATAGTCTGTGGGATGAACACCTTCTCTAACCATTCAATGGCAGTTAAGTCTGTAGTCCAGCCATTATCTGTTGCTGTGAACTCCCACCCATCGTATGGAACGAGATGTAATGGAAACCACTGCTGTTGGACTGTCTTCCCCTTGAAAATGATAAGAGGACGAAGTGCCCTACCCAAGGCTGAGATACACTCAATGATAGAGACCCATGCCCTCGACCCAGGTTGTTTCTTGCGAACAGACGTCGTCTCAGCCATACCCAGCACTAACCCATTAGCTCCCTGACCCTCGAGGATGCCAGTCTCATCCATATTATATCTGTTGGCTGGTTTGATGTCCTTGATCTCAGGGATAGCGAGGAACTTAAACCAGTTCCTAATGACCTCAGTAGATACCCCATTAACGCGTCTAGAATCGATAGAACGACTTCTCTGAACCTTAATGATAGGGTTCCTTCTCACAAAGGCATAGATCCAGCCTTTTCCCAGTGGTTTGGTATCCCCAGCAGCAGCCAGAACTCGCTCTGCGAATTCCTTCACCTGTTGGTGCGTTGGTGCGAGGCCCAGCGAAGCCTGAATGCGAACCCATTGTGCCAGCTTACTCTCCTGGTCAGGAGACAGCCTCTGCCAGTCAGCAAAAGCCACTTTCCTAGTCTGACCACCTTGGAGACGTAGTTGGAGGGTTGATCGTGGTATCCCATACTCCAATGAGGCTCTCTTTTGACTCTTGCCGTTTGAGATGTCCTCGAGAGCCTGACGAAGCTGATCTTCGGTATATTGAGGCATTAGATATAGAAGAAGGTATGTGCAAAAGATGAGCCCATTTGGACGCGAATTGAAAATGTTGTGATAAAAGGAGGTTGGGGGTGGGCATTGGGTTGTGGTGGATTTTCGCGTTTTTGTGGGTGCCAGAAACAGGGGGGTGCCAGGAAGTGGGGGGTTTGACTTACAGCAGCTACTAGCAAGCCCGCTAGATCTCTTTATTTAATATGTTCCGCAGAGCCTTATAGAATGATAAACTTAATAAATAAATACGATACCGTTATCTAGCCCTAGGGCTAGAACGTCTAGAGTAAATTCATATGTTACGGCCAGCTAGTCGTAGGGGTAGTTTGCAGAAGTTGAGGCTGCGGAACTGGTAACAGTAATCTGTTACGACCCAACATGCATGACCAAGAACAAGGCCTACCCCGCAGGCTTACGGCGGTTACGATACGCCATATATGCACAGGACAAGGGGACACAAGGCACCCTCTCACGGAACGGAAGAACTATGGTATAAGTCACGTAATGATAAGATAAGGATCATTTGGGATTAATATGATCCAACACGACTTGGGGGCTAAACGATCATTCTGGATCAGAATGACCCAAGACGACCCAAGGGACAAGGACATGTTCAGGATCAGGACTTATATATAAGGATGGACTTGAGCTAGACTCTAGGACAAACTTCCATAGCTCTTTAGCAATTAACTTCGTATCAGGATTAACATCCGCTTTTAGCTACTACCTTGACAAGACTACGACTGATCACCGAAGCCTTACCTACCCTTACGATTGACAGACATAGCTTCCCCGAAGCTATCCCCGACTACGAATACTGTTACCAGTTCCGCAGCCTCAACTTCTGCAAACTACCCCTACGACTAGCTGGCCGTAACACTTTAATTGCTCCTGTTCAGTAAGTTGACCCTACGAAACTCACTAACAGTAAGAACGACGATGTCTTCCCAAGCCACCCCGTCCACTTCCGACAGCGGCTCTAAGGGTAAAGCTCCTATGCCACCCAAAACCCTGGACGAAGAAATGAAGGACGTCGAAGACTCGGAAGAAGAACTTGACTTCACTCGTAAGGTTTACGAAAGCCTACAGAAGAAGATCAAGAAGAACGACTCCGACATTGCCATGATGCAACAGATGTTCAATGACGCCATGGAACGACTTGAGATCAAGACCAAGGAAGTAGACTACCTTACGGAGGAAGTCAATACCCTCCACGGTGCTGCTAACATCATTACTACGCCGCATGACGGACGAGAGAAGCTCAGGCTGAACTCACCTTAAGCCTTTGACGGAACCCCAGGATAACTGAAGGGATTCCTCACGCAAGTCAGAGCCTACTAACGCTTCTACGGAATGAACTTTAAGGATGAAGCCGAGAAGGTCATCTATGCCGCCTCCTTTTTAAAGGGAAAAGCTCTCGTATGGTTCGAACCACATCTTACCGACTTTATGATAACCAACGACTGGGACACTCTCAAGCCAGAGACCCAAGGTATCTTCGAAGGACTGTACGGAT